ACAGCCCTGTCCTTCCACATCCAACCCATCAGAAGCTGCTTTTTGGATGCAGTCCCACCTCTCCTCTGACCCACACCCATTTCTTCCTGTGCCTAGAATCCTTCCACCTCCACACCCAGCTTCAGCTCTGCGGTATTTTTGGTTCTTGGAATATTTCAGTGGAAGAAAGAAGCAAATGTTAAAATAGATAATAAATGTGCAGGCATTCCCAAAAAAACTTCTCCTTATCTGAGCAGCTTTGCTCACTACAAATGGCACAGTGTAGCTTGTAGCTAAGTCCCAATTCACCCATACTCTTATTTGACCTACAGATCTCACCATGGGAGAAAAAGAATTAAGTTTACCCTTCATTTTAGTAAAATAAAGGTCAGAGGTACAAGAAAAGCACTAAATTTCCAGGAGGAACACAGATTCTTAGTCTTGGAGAAAAACAGTTTCAGCTGTTGCTATTTTTCTCAAATTCCATTTTTTCCTTTCAAGAAAGGGCTTTTCTGCAAACACCACTAGCTGTTCTTTGATTTTTCTGGAGAAAGTCTCAGCTGAATGGGAAAGGATCTTTAGAATGCACATAAAATACAAAGGTTCAAACGAAAGCTGAATTCTCAATGAGCACAGGTTTATTTTAGTAAACAATAGAAACTTGGAGCTGAATGAGATTTTATCCCTTTTAATCACTTAATAAATTTTTCTTGCCTTTCCAATTTTCAAGCTACATCTCTACAATAAACAAACCTGCACTGACAAAAAGTCTCCACCAAAGCACACAAAACCTCTATTTGATGCAACAGTGAACTCACCTCGGCTTTGGCCAGGGTTTGCCAATGCCTTGATTCAGTCAGCAAGAGGCAAAAACTGCTCTGATGAACACAGAAAAAAGTAAACTTCAAGAGAAAACCCCACAAATGAAACTTCAACCCTCTTAATTCTTTCAGTTTTTAAAAGCTTTTGCAGTCAACTTTTGTACTGCCCAAAAAATGTCAGTCCTACAGCAAAGTTAAGAAAAATCAAATTCTAACATCCATACAGCTTACCTAATAGTACTTCTGTAGAAACCAACCTAGGCAGAGTGATGTGAAATTCCACAAATATCATCTTCGGATTCATTTTTAGAACAACCTTATTTGGCAAATCAGTAATTTAAATAATATAACCCTTCTTTGAAAAGAAAAAAGCAATACAAAAAAAGTGAGCATCTATTCAGAACTACTGCAATGAGAACCAAAAATGCAAGAAAAGTAAGCAAATGCCTGAGTTTAGATCATTGGGTCATTTTAACTATTGGTAAGGGTTTCTTAAACACATGCATAAATGGATACACACGCATTTATGTAATTTTATGGTCCTCAAAGCCAGTGCTTTGGTGCCTAAAGATTATTAAGTCATCAAAAAGTCCTAAAAACATCAAGCTGGAAATTTGCAATGATCTTACCAGGGGAGGAGTCTGAGGCCTGTGAACAGGTGTATTTTCTCTACTGAGAAGTATCATAATGGGATTTTCCCGTGGGGTCCTTTTCCTCGGGCACTTATAAATAACATAAATAACTTAAGATTCCCATTCTACTGTCCAGCTCAGATGTGTTTTGGGGATAAAGCCCTTAACTTTTCAGAGCTCACGAGTGCACAACACACTCAACACAAATAACCAGTCAAATGAAGGACCCCAAGCAGGACAAAAGAAAAATAGCAAGTTTGCTGCACCACACTTTTCAAGCCTTAGGAGCTTTGCTTCATAATACAGAAGATTCAATACTTAACTGAAAATAACAAACATTATAATTGAATGTTATCAGTTCTACAGTCAAGGGCCCTATATTCTGGGTAAAAGTTTAGTTCTTTCAGCAAAGTTTACTGCTAGAGTTCCCACCAAGTGCCAGTGAAGGGCTGTCTGTGCATAGACCTGATATAAAATAAACAAACCCAGACTCCTTCAGCCTGAAAGAGACAAAACCCCTAAATAATTTAACCAGCCTCCTGAGAGCACACACAAGGCATTGCACATTTTTTAACTCCAAATAGCAAACGACACCTTTTGTCAATCGGGTTTACCAGAGGTGAGGAGGATTTGGGGAAATGATTCTGTCATTAGCAAATATTCTACTGCTCGAAAAAAAAACCCAGAAAAAATAGCATGCCAAAAAGGTCAAAGTCCTAGCTAGCATCAACTTACTAAGACAACCCTACACCAAAAGAAAACCACAGCATGCAATGGGAACTCCTTATCTGTCCCTGTTTTAGTGTATCTTTCCACTTTAAAACTAGAACAAATTCAATGCCACGGGAGAGGAAAAAAAATGTGTAAAATAGTCACCGTTTGGTATTTACTTATTCTGAAACCGAGTGCACACATCCCAAGAAAAATACAGTGTCCTTTAAAAAGAATCATATTTCAGTGCAGTCTGTATCCTGAGTCATTTGTTTGAAATGCCAGTGCAAGGAATGTTAAGATTTAGCTGACGATTATCTCCACGACATTATCCCAATTTGATTATACAGTGTTTACTACATCAAAGCCAAAAAAAAGCACAGTAATAGATTCAGCAACACACCCACTTGGAATACTGAAGACCTATTATTAAAGAACCAGAAGAATAATTTTCAAAAGGTTTTTATTTTCAAACACAGTCTAGCATAAGATCTTACCATAAAGGAAGGTTGTTAAACATTTCTATTCAACCCACATATTTGAAGCTGAGCCTCAGAAGTTAGGTCAAATTATTTATGTGATCAGGAAACTTGACTGCCCTTCTTGTCTCACTCTGACTGGACACAGGAATGCAACAGACAGGTTTCACTGGCTGAAGCACCAAAAGCATGACATCAACATTCATTTCCTCGTAACTTTGTAATTCATATGGAACATAAAACAATATGATTCTTTCAGACCTAACCACAAACAAGCTTTCAATATTTATAGTTTTGACATGGTCTTATTACGCTGTAATTGACATAACAAATGCTAATATTCAGCACACCAGTACACACAAATGAGCAGGTTATGGTTAAAAATCCACATGTGGGGGTGTTTGCATGGCAGAAGGTCACAGCAGCCTGTGCTGTTTGCCCCTCATGCAGAAACCCCACAGTAGTTAAAATTCAGACAACCAGAATTATTATAATCAACACATCACCCCGAGTTACACTGCCTAGGATTAGAGGACAGTGATTATAATGTTGTCACCCAGTCTACGTTAGCTCTCACATCCTCTCCAGCACCAGCAGGGCTGAATGCAGCTCTAAAAGGAGAAGCTATCACTGGGCAGGAATTCAAACACAACAAACCAGTATTTAACTGAGGATGCCAAACTGGTCAGACCGTGTGAACCTTTCAGCAGGCCTGACAGCACCATCCCTGCTATCCTCCTACATCTAGCAAATCCCAGAGAAGTGTCTGTGCAAGGTGTTTGCAAAGACAGCACAACTTTCAGACACAAACTGAGCTCTTTGGTGCTGGCTATCGGCAAAACAATGTACATCCTCACAGTTATGGCAACACCTGGAACACAAGATCTTGGAAGGACAAGGGTACAAAAACAACCTAGCACTCAGTAAGTTTGCCCAGAAGAGCTCTACAACAGCTGCTCACATACTTGTTTATTCCAGGAAAACTCAAGTTGCTATTTTTCAGTGACTACAGCTGGCCAACACACTGTTCATAGGCTTATTCTACAAGAAAAGGTTCCATCTCAAAGTCCAGAAGAATTTTTTTTGTATACACACACAAAAACAGCTTTCTTTAATTCTCACTTGTCTTCATTTAACAATCTGCACAGAACTGCAGAGGTAAAATTCTCAATGGATCCCTGTCCTCAGTCTGGTGTATTTCTTGTCAATTGCTACTCAACACTCCTGCAATGTAAATTGCAAGAAGGCAGAACAGAACAGAAAAACAAACATGTTGCTTATCAATAAACAATCTGCCCTCCTAGGCAGCACAGCATGTATTCTGGTCAGATTTTTGGGAGCATTATACTTCAATATATGTTTTTAAATTTTGTTTAGGACCAAATCAAACACACTCATATAAAATAAACCACGAAACACACATAAAACATCCACCTTACACTGCCTACAATGCATCTTACACAGAGCAGCAGCCTTGTGCTCAACACTGCAACACATTAAAAAAACCTACCTGCAGCCTATAAACTCTATCTGTAATCTTCAGTCATAAAAGTTATCACACTAGTGACATTTTTAGTTTAATGACAGCAAACCAAACACAGTGCAGTGAGCAAAAACTCCTGAATGAATTGCTAAACAGAAAAAAAAGAAGAATATTGACCCAATACACATAGGTGCTACTTAAAAATTTTCCAGGTAAGGATGGTTTAACTATCTGGAGAGGAAAAGCCTGTAAGAAGTTTGTACAGATCCAACCAATACATGCTCTGAACTTCTATACAAGAGCTTGATTTTCATGTCTCTCATCCAAAAAGACAATACACACAGCAAGGCTACCACAGTGAACGTGCTCCTCAAAACATACTAAAACCAGAACAAAAAAAAAAAAAAATGGAAATCAATGCTAGAAGCAGAAGTAAGACGTCTGCAAAGAAAATAGCCAAATTAAACCTTCAGAGTGGATTTAAACCATGTAATTAGAGAACAGGGTTGAAATCAAGACTCTTCTCCAAGTCATGAAGTAAGATCTTGCCTTTGTGAAAGCATTTATGGCACAAGAGGGTACACACACAAATGTCAAACAAATTCAAGGTTTCTTGGCTTGCAAGGACACTTGTTGCTAGATGGTCACATTCACAGCAGAAACTACACTTGAATCTGCATACTCACACAGCTTTAATTAACACAAAAACTCAAGAAATTGTTTTAGCTGTGCAGAATTCAGTAAACAAAGGACTCGATACCCTATGACAAATTTAAATGCTCCTTTTGGATTTATAGCACAACGTTGAAGTTCTGTCTGGAAAGCATTCAGAATTACAGCGACATTTAGACAAACTAATTGAAAATTATAGTATTGTGACAAACATTCAACTTACTTTACATAATATCTTGCACCTTCAAAAGTATAGGCTTCCTCCCAACCTGTGGGTAAGTCTGGAAAACAAGCAGCAAAACATTCCAATTACCTTCTGAAATGAGAAATGATGCTAGCCATACTGGTCTACTCCCTAACACTAAGGTAGTTAAAATACTGTGTCTGATCCCTCATGTTGAAACCTTTAGTCCCAGAAACAAGAATTTCAGAATTGACTCACAAGACTGCCTAAGTGGGAATTCTATAAGCCAAGAGAAGCTGCACACCTGAGAAAGCTGATTGGAGTTTCTCGTTGTCAAATAACAAGGATGGTTTGTTTAATCCTTTAACGTCCCTCCCTTTGCCCAGATCTCTCTGCCTTGAACTTGAGCAGCATCAGATCACCTGGCAGGCAGAGATGTGAACAGAAATCCATCTAACCGAGCTCCATGCAAGTCACAAGCTCCTTAAGAGGCAAGGTATCAACTGCACCACAGATCATTAGCATTTCATTAGCATAATTCCACCACTGTTGTGACTAACAAGTGTTCCTGCAGTGTTTACAACTCTGTTGCATTTCACATGAAAATCGTTTTCCATGTAAATCTAGTGGAGGATGTGGGTGCATCTCTTCCTTTCTATTACCACTCTTAAGAGTCAGGAGTCCAGATATTAAAAAAACCCATACCACTAATGGTCAAAATTTCTCAAGTAACAGTTTCCTGGTGTGATGGAAGCTCTGGAGATGTTGGGTACCTCCATGCATCTCTACCCTTAAAAGTCTGCTCCATCATTTAAGAAAATTATTGATATGTAGTGCTCTTAATTAAATTATAAAAGCAAGAATGCATTTCCTAAAGAAAAAAAAAAAAATCAGGCTGGGTTATGTGGTGGTTTTTATCCTGCCCATTACTTATTTGTTCTGGCTGCTTTTTTTTCTTCAGTCCTGTCTTCTGCAGAACAAAAATCAAGGTGTCTTTCGATAATGGCATGGGGCAAAGTACAGCAAACAGGAAGTCTCTCCAGCAGAAATATTTATGGCTGCTGTAAGAACTTTGCAAAAAATACCCTTCAGTTTGAGCTGAATAGCTCAAAGAATAAAAAGCGCTTCAATTCATAATGGAGGACAAAGCTTTCCTCCACCATCTAGAACTTGCCTCACAGAATTATTTAACAGAAAGCTTTACAATAACATGCATCTGCAAAAGAAGTGCCATTCACTCAAAAATTGTTTCATAAGAGAAGATGTATTTTGAACATACTTTGATTAGGTTCCAGAACAATGGCCAGAGCAAAGGAAGAGATAAACCCCAGAATAATTCTCTTTGATTGTATCTGTGTGTGGAGAGATTCATTAACATACACATGAATGAGGAAAACTACAGGAATAGATTTGGTTTTTAGACACTTTGGTATCTGATTGATGAATTATGGTCAAAGGTCATGCCTCAGCCTTGTGTTCAGAAACAAGTTTAATTTACCTGATGATGACTCTGCTCTGTTACACACAATACTCCAGATACTCGAAAGCAAACTGCATTTCCTTTAGAAGGCACTTAACAGCAGAAACAAATGAGACACTTGGAAAATTACCGGGAAATCATCATCAGTCAACAGGGACAGTGGGAATAGTTTAAAAAAAGAATTAATACTCAGCTAATGCCAGCATTGAACAAGAAAAGCATTTCACACACATCTGCCCCCATGCATGGTGCTGTAGATGAAGGCCACTTTCTCAATCTGAGCCCGGAGAGCAGGAGCAAGAGGAGCCTGATAGCAATCAGTAGTTCTATTTCCCAGCGTTAAATGACTTCTTACAAACGACAGAACCTTCGCTGCGAATCAAGCTGCAGGGTTCTAATAGCCAGAAACCTGTGGTTTTTAAACTATTCCCAACTCAAAAACAACAACAAAAAAAAAAGAAAGGCTGCCCACAGTTTTCTAAAAGGCTGTTTCCGATTCCTTAATGCATAAGTATTAACCAAACATAGAAAGCAAATAATCTGATACAGACCAATTCACTTGCAGATTATTTCGCCGTGATTATCCAAGTGCTTATATACATAAAAACAACTGCACGTATTACTACACTCCACCACCTCCCAGCGGCATATGCAGCCTGTGCGCAGCTCCAGCAGTCAAGAGTTTGGCTCCGGGTCTCCGGAGTGTCTGCTCTAAATCCTCCTCCTCCAGCACCTCCTGCTGATACTTCTCCACAGTGGAACAAACAGCAGAAGCTAAAAGACTTGATTCCAGCCTCCTCCCTCCAAGTTATTCCTAATATTTCTAGTCCCCTTTCCTCCTACCTATTCCACCTCTCTCAGTCACTTGGAAACCACACAGACTCTCAGCCCAGGATGGAAGCGCGGGGAGAAAAAGGGTTTCTAGCGAAATCAGCCCCTACATTTCTAGTACACCTACCGTGGTTAAATCTAGGCACTGCTGGAAATAGAAATACGACGAGTGGTTTCGTGCTGAAGTGGGGAAGGATGCTATGCAGGTGGATAACCGGGGTAGCCAGCGAGGAGCAGGGGAGGAACGAGGCGGTCTCTAATGGTAACTACACAGCCTCGCAGGGGTGAGACAAGGCAACGGAGGGAGAGCAGAGACAGCCACATTACACAGGCACAACTCGGGGGCAGGGGGACAAGGCGCCTGAAGGCGGCGGGGCCAGCGGGCTGGACACGCAGGACTGCGCGGCCACCGCAGCGCTGCTCAGCCCGGGGGGAACAACCGCGCCAAGCGCGGGGAAAGCGCAACCGCCGCTCGTCCCGGGGGGCTGCGGCGGCTCCCGCGGCTGAGCCCGCCCGGGGCAGGGCAGGGCAGGGCGGGAGCGGCCGAGCCGGGGCTCGGGGCAGGGCTCGGGGCAGGGCTCCGGGCAGGGCTCCGGGCAGGGTCCTACCTGCGCTGCGGCGGTGCCCGGTGATCACGGCCTCGCCGGTGAGCGGGTGCAGCCAGGTCGTGCTCTTCGCCTCCTCGCTGCGGGGACGGACACACGGACCGAGTCAGGCAGGCGCAGCCCCGCCGCCCCCTGCTCCCCCCCCTCCCCTCCCCTTCCCTTCCCTTCCTTCCCTTCCCTTCCTTCCCTTCCCTTCCTTCCCTTCCCTTCCCCGCACGCCCCTCCCGGCCCGGCCCCGCTCCCCTCCTGGCCGGCCCCGCGCTCACTTGATGAAGAAGACGCGGCCGCCCTGGCTGATCCCGTAACTCCAGCTGCCGGGCAGCGCCCGCAGCCGCTCCGCGCTCAGCTCCGCCATGGCCGGGCAGCCGCAGCCGGGAGAGCCGGGCAGAGCCGGGCAGAGCCGGGCAGAGCCGGGCAGAGCCGGGCAGAGCCGAAGGGAGCGCGGCCGGGGGGGCGGCGCGGCCACGAGCGGCGAGCGCGTCCCCGCCGCCGCCGCCAACACCTTGGGGAGGGGAGGGGAGGAGAGGGAGGGGAGGGGAGGAGAGGGAGGGGAGGGCGCAGCGCCCGCCCCGCCCCGCCGCGGGGACGCGCGGGCCGCGGGGGCGCGCCCGGCCGGCGGGGGCGGTGCCGGTGCCGGCGGGCGGGGCGGGAGCGGCGGCGGTGGAGGGAGGGGATGCGATGGAGGGAGGGGATGCGGGGACCGAGGCGGGATCCGGTGTGCCGCGGCCGTGCCGGGGGCTGGGAGGGACGGGCAGAGCGCAGCGGCACGGAGCTCGGCCCCGGGATCCTCCGCCGCGGTCCCGGGATCCTCCGCCGCGGTCCCGGGATCCTCCGCCCCGGCCCCGGGATCCTCCGCCCCGGCCCCGAGATCCTCCGCCCCGGCCCCGCTCGTTCGCACCGACGGCGCTGCGAACTCCAAAATCCTCGGCTCCGCCGCTGGTGGCGTCCGTAAGGACAAAGGAAATCCAAAGTTTTGTCCTATTTCTTCCCCCCCTCCACCCGGCTTCTCACATCCTCCGCTTCACCGACGGTTTTGGAATTTTTAATGTAAAGTATAAAGAGATGGCGTATTTTCGTGCAAATTGGTGTTTTGTGCCCCTCTTCCAAAGGAGGGGTGGGATGTGGCATTGGATGCGTGTTTGCAGTGTTTCAGGGAGGTGGCGGTAATTCCGGTAGAGTCCCCAAAAATTACTCCGTGCCAGGGTGTCTAGTTTATTTCACGTGAGTCATCCCATCGCATGTGCATTTCTGCACAGCCCCTTCGATTGAACTGATAGGTGAAAAACGGGAATTACTAAAACTGTGCCATGGCCATGGTATTTCTGAGAGAACCTTGCCTTGCAAAACCGCTTTCTGAATAAGCACTGAGGCTGGGAAGTCTCGCAGCACTCCTGTCTGTGTCCACAAAGCATTTGTAATTCACAGCTGACAGTATTTTGCACAGGCGGCTTTGTCCCCTCTCCCATTCTGAACACCTCAGGAAAAAGAAAATTGGACAGACAAGCTGTTTTGTGGTTTGGTCCCCGTTGTGCCACGTGGTCAAAACTTTTAAGTCCCTGTTGTCCCACACAAGATATTCCAGACACAAAGAGCAGTGAATGTGAGAAGATCTGGAGTTCTCTTTAAATAACTGGATGCAAAATAAGAATTCCTCCCTGTCCAGCAATACCTTTCATTTCCACTCAGCACTGACAGCACCTGAGATTGATGGACTACCAGAGGAACACTACTCTGGGGAAAACACGAGTCATTCTGTAAACACTTCCCTTCTCTCCTAAGAGCAAGAGCCCTCAGATGATGAGTAAAGTGAGTAATGGCTCTTCCTGTGAGGGGCTGTGGAAAGCTGCCTGGCAACAGCAAGAGGGAAATCGTGTGCATTTTGGGCTCCTGAGGTGGGAGTGGTCATGCCCTAATATTTCCCCAAGCAAGTGCTCTTAAATCCCCAGAACAGTGGATACCTTCCACTATGCAGAACCAATTTCTTTTCCCTAGCAGAGGAGTGCCTGCAGCACAGCTAGACTTATATTGGCCTAGATCCATAAATTAGGTGTTTAGGTAGAATTTAGGTGCATAAATCCTGCCCAATCCCAGCATGTGCTTTGCCAAATGGCTTCTTTAGGCAACTAAGTTTTTTGCAGCTTCTTGCTGCTTTGCTTGTGCTTAGAATTGCTGTCATCTTGGCAAAACCAGGATCATGGTACTTAAAATGTGCCCAAACCTGGATGAACTCTCAGGCAAGGCATTATTGCCCCAAGTGCCACGGAGGCTGGGTAAATTGGTCGTGTTCAGGCCACACCTACGAAAGACTTGGAAGTTTTGTTTCTGAATAACTCCCAGCAAACCGGCTGGCAGCAGAGACATCACCATGAGCACTACGGGGAACATGTTCAGCCTCAAGGATGAAGGGTGTTCAAAACCATGCCACTCTATTCCCAGGAAAATGCTTTTTGCTCCAAGCCATAAGCTGTTCTGAAGCTGAGACTATTCTGTGAGGATACTGAAGGTGCTCCTCCTCCCCCTCACATGATTTTGCTAATATAATTATGGGGCTGTAGGGTGGTGGCATGACTTGCTGGGCTCATGAATAAGAAGCTCAGCCAGGGAGTGAGGGAAGACCTTGGTTCTACTTCACTCAAGGACATTCAGTTCAGGGACTCAAGTGTTTTATGTTAAGCAGCCATCAAATAAAAAGTATTTGCAGATGCTCACCTTGCCAGGTGCTATGCACCCTGAACTCCCAGTGATTTCTGGGAGCCTGAAGTTTTACCCTGTTTTGGAAAAAGGGTATGAAGGAAATCACATCTGCATCATTTGTGCAGGCTGGTGCTGGCAGTTTTTCTTTCTGAAGGCTTCTGTAGGTTCCACAGTTAAAACTTCTGCTTTAAAAGTTGGTCTAAAAGTTTGATCAAAACAAATCACACATGGAGTTTTTTGCAAGGTTCAGTAATTGTACATATTTTCTACAGTCAGATAAGTGCATGAATGCTCTTAAAAGAGGGACTCAGGAGCAACATTTAGAAAAAAAGAAAAGGTTTATCACTAAGGGGAGTAAAACTCTTCTTTGAAAGGAGTTTATATCACCATAAAAACTGCATGCATAATTCAAGACGCTACATATCTTACCTCTCACATCATTCTTTTTTACTATAAAAATGAACTAATGATTCCAAATGTGAAACTGGTCAGCGTGATTTATAAAGCTCAGGGAAACCCATCACAGTGCTCCCATCTGGCCAATAATTGGTTTTTTTTTCCCAGAAGAGTTGAAGAGAGACTGTTGGAGTGGTGACCACCATTGGCACAGCTGTTCTCTGCTCTCTGCTCTCTTCTTTATCTGCTGCTCCTGTCACTGATGGGAAGAGGATGTGGGGCAGGATGTTAATCTCAGAGACAGAGCCCTCCCATCAGTACATTCCCCCCCACACCACTGGGAGCTTGGGATGAAGTAAAAACCCAGCTCCACTGAAATTTTTCGTGGGAAAAATTCAGTTTCTCCACACTGTCCTGAGCTTCTTCCTTTCCTCTTTCACCTCCACATGACAGAACCTTTCCTAGCAACTCCCTCAGGGCCAGGGAGTACTAAGGGAGAAGTAAGACTATTGATGTTTTAAGAAAAATAATTTTGGCCCAATAATGTATTCATAATCAAAATACTTAAAATTCCTGGGGCAAAGGAACCCTGCCCACAAAACAATGAGTCCCTTTAAATGAGATTAATTAAAAACAGCGTTGAGAGAACAGTCATTGAATAAGACTCAGAGAATTCCATCCACACCTCTCCCAACAGGTATGAGGTGACAATAAAGATGATGAGCCAGTAAAAAAGGGCTTTTTTTTACTCTAAGCATAGCATCTGACAAAGCCTCTGAAGCAGGGAGTGGACTGCAGTCAGAGAATCACAGAACATCTTGAGCTGGGAGAGACCCACAAGGGTCATCACAGTCCAACTCCCGGCCCTGTACAGGGTCACACCATGTGCCTGAGGGAGTTTTCCAAACCTTTCTTAAGCTCTGCCAGGCTTGGTGCCATGACCACTTCCCTGGGCAGCCTGTTCCAGTGCCCAGCCACCCTCTGGGTGGAACACCTTTTCCTGTTATCCAACCTAACCCTGCCCTGATGCAACTGCAGGCCATTCCCTTGGGTCCTGCCACTGCTCATGGGAGTGAAGAGATCAGTGCTTGCCCCTCCTCTCCCCCTCATGACTGCAGTGAGGTCTCCCCTCAGTCTCCTCTTCTCCAGGCTGAACAGACCCAGTGCTCTCAGCTGCTCCTCACAAGGCTTCCCCTCGATGCCCTTCACCTTCCTCGTGCCCTCCTTGGGACACTCTCTAACAGCTCAATGTCTTTTTTACATTGTGACAGCCAGAACTGTCCCCAGCATTCGAGGTGAGGCTGCTCCAGCCCCGAGCAGAGCAGGACAATCCCCTCTCTTGCCTGGTGATGCTGTGCCTGTTGCCCCCAGGACTGGGATGTCCCTCCTGGCTGCCAGGGCACTGCTGCCTCCTGTCCAACTTGTCCTCCACCAGCACCCCCAGGTCCCTTTCCATGGCACTGCTCTCCAGTTATCTATCAGGTATTTACTATTAGATATTTATCTATTGTTAGATGTTTGCTCTTATTAGTTATTTACTATTGTTAGATACTTATCTGTTATTAAATGCCTGTTACTCGTAGCTGTTTAGAATAGAGAATCAAAAAGGTAAACATCTTGTCAAGCCTCTGAAGTGGGGAAACAATGCCTTAAGTTTTAGCTTTCTTTTTTTTTTTTTTTTGTGCTGCCTTGGTGCTCTGAGCTTCATATGTAATGTCAATAAGCTCTCTTCACAGCTTAGTTAGAAAAAAAACAATTATTTTCCAGCTTGAGAAGCAAGGACAATTGTTACAAGCTTCAGGCCCAAAAAAACATAAACAACAGTGAATTGAAGAGAGAAAAAGAAGAAGGATGGGACTTCATAACCTAAAGCTATAATTGGACAATTAACCCCAATATGCAAATGGAGCAGAACATATAAAAGTGAGAGCCCCCGTGAGCGCTCGTGCATTTTGGGACCATTTTGGTTCATCTTGGGTGCAGCCCTGGCTGGGCTCTTGTGCTGCTAAATTGCATCCATTGAGGCCTTCTAATAAATCCCTCCTTTATTCTTTAGCTCTGTCCAGCCTTTGTTCCAGGTCAGCCTCTCCAGGCATCAGTTCCAGACCCCAGCCTGTCCCTACAGCCAGGGCTGCCCCATCCCAGGTGCAGACACTTCACCTAAAACCTCTCCACAGGACTGATTGATTCTGTGTGTTCTGTCAACGTGAATCAAATTGGATGAGGTTATTTCATGGAGTCTGTGACTTTACATCTTTTACGTTGTTTAACTACTGAAAAAATATAACCCTTCAAATGTGAGGAAAGACCATTGCTGGAGGTGCAGTTTTATATTACTCATTCTC